AATTTAAAAATAGAAAAGAAAATAATTAAAAATTAAAAATTTAAATAAAGGTAATTTAAAATTTAAAAAGTAAGAAAAATAAAAATATAGTCAAATAGAAAATTAAAATTAAATCTGAAAAGCTAAAAAAAAAAAAAATCAACCTACCTACTTCACAAAGCACAATGTAGGCTGTTGTCATCCCTCAAAGCGATTGACCCAAAGTCAGTCCACAGAAATACCTAAAACCACCCTTTTTCACATCCCACCTTCCTTCCAGCACACTCCCATCTTTAGCCAGAAAGGGAATGCATGGCACCAGAACACCCAGGGAAAAATCCCTTTCCAAACCYCCATCCTCTTTTAGAGACACATCTTCTTCACAAATTAATTATTCAAACCCATTTGTATCTGAGCACAAGGTAATTCTCAGAGTACACAATTAAAACAGTCAAATGTCTTCCACTTATCATTTTTTTCAATGTTAAATCCACTCCCAAAACCAGAGTAATTGTTTAAGATCATTCAACACACCCCAAAAAAACATTTCAACCCGAGCATTCATGAGTGAGCAAGCCATGGGGAACCGTTTACAATTATGATGTGTATTTTAATCAAGCAGTTGATTCATATTTAACAAGCACACAGACGAGCAGACATCCAAATTAACATATAAAAAGAAAAATAAACTCAAATATCTCACTGCTTTTGGCACAAGCGAGGCTGTGTAAATTCAGTGAGAAGCCACCGGTCCAGTGTCAGTGGAACAAAACTAGTGACAGGCAGATTCTCTCACAGTTCCAGACATTGAGGACAGATCCAAAAATTAATTTAATTTCAAGATACTGAGCTTGGTTTGACCTTCCCAAGTCAGGCTGCAAGCTCCAACAGCATCAGGCTGTGGGTTTAACAGATCAAAGCTCCCCCAAACCCACGTGCTGGAGGAAACACTCGAGTGCTGCATGCAGGCAACTCCCTGGAGCTTTGGACGTACAGACAGGCTGCAAAGCACCCAAAGATACACCACAAATGTCACATATTCCACCCCAAAATTGATCTGCTGCTGGAGCCTCTGCCAAGCCAACAACATGGTACAGCTCCCAAGTAACAAAGGATTTGGGGGAAAAGCCCCACCGAATCCTTACATTCCTTGCCAAATATAACCTTTAGTTTGGATTTTAAAACTGTTTTCCCAGGAGGGAAATGTGGTAATATTAAATGATGCACATCTGAAAAATCAAGGAGTTTTTGCACATGGAGGGATGCCTTCTCTGCAGATGGACATGTGGCACTGGCGTTCCCATTCCTAACGCATGTCTAGAAAAGCCTGATCACCYAAATCCTGGCAGCTCCACTTCAGCTGGCATTCCAGAAACTACAGCACTTAATTTGGGAAGAACACTTTGTTGGGAAGTCTCTGAGAGCTGCCAGTTTGGATTTCCATCTGGAGAAGGAAAGGACACCTTGGGCACATTTATTCCTGTAACTTCAGCACCACCTTTGCACTTCCACAAACCAAAGCTTCAGGAATCTACCTGCCTGATGTGACCACTTACACCTTCCAAAACAACAATAAAAYTAATATCCACGAGAAAAAATTAGTATTTCTCCAGAACCAGGAAGCAATTTTGTCAATTAGCAAGGGATTTTTGATGAAGAATAAACCATCTTTTATTGACAAACAGCATTGTACTCGATTTGGTCCTTTTGAAAAGAAACACTTCCAGGTGACCAATAATGTGTGAGCAAATACAAACCCGTGAGTGTTGAGTGAAGTCACCTGGAGGCAAAGCAATTCTCTTTCAGTCCCAMCTAACCACCTTCAGTTATGGAAAATATTAATGTATTTATTTCATGGTTTACTGTAGGCACATAGGAAAATAAGTCCTATTTGCCAGAAGGACAGGCATGGATTACTGMAGCTTTTTCCCAAGGAGAGCTGTTGAAAATCCAGGGAAATAAATACCAAGAGACTTTGTCACAGACAAGTGCAAACCAGCTTGTTGTATAATTAAAAATATTAATTCTTTCAACTCTGTCTGAATTAACTGAACTGAAAACAGGAGATTTTAAATTTTGCTTTTTTTTTTAAGATTTAAACTTTGAAGAGCCAAAGCATGTATCCAGAGATTCTAGACACTACACTTTAAGAAAACTGAACAAAGAAATAAAAAGGCTTTCAGGACTAGATTTAAAAATGGAGCCTTTCAGCCCAAATGTTGCAAAGTCATTTAAGAAAAACCAGATAGGGGAGGTCCCTCCACACTATGAAACATACAGAAAAAGGACTTAGGGGAAAAACGGAGGGATTTAAGAGTTTTTAAAGCCAGTTCCATAATGTGGATGTAAAATAAGCAATTTTAAATCCACCACCTGGCATTTTGATATCATGTTTTCTATGTCATTAAATAACAAAAAAGGTGTTTGAGGCTGTGATGGAATCAGCACAAGGACCTTTTGAAACTCACAAACCTCTTTTAGCCASGGGAAAGCTCACAATATCATTCCTAAGGGCTCCAGATAATTTGCTATGAAGTAAAGGAAAGCACAAACAGRTTCTCCACAGTAAATTGTGGTGGCTGAGTGCTGACCTAGGAAAATGCTTAAAATTTACTGTTGGCAGATAATACTGCATAACTGGCAGGTAATACCTTTCAAGTATTTTAATCACGAGGGTTTTGAAACTTTTGATTATGGGGGGTTATTTTACCTGTGGATCTACAGAGAAGCACAAAAATATAGAGAAGGATGTGGATGAGGTTGTCCTACATTTCACTCTCAATTCAGTAAAAGAATCAAAACCTAGGCAGCAATTATTACTGCAGGTGGAGTGCTGAGACTGGAAAGAGAAATCTGCATTCCCTCCCTTCCAGCAAGGCTGTAAATATTCAAACCACCTTTCAAACAAAAGGCACCTGAAGTGCAAGGCCAGCATTCTGTACAACCCAGAAAAATCATCGACACAGGCTTTCCCGACCCTCTGCAGGCAGCGGAGCCACTCATGCAAGGGAGAACCCCTGCTGGAAAAGCAAATAGGAAATGCCTTGGAAAAGGGACAGTCTACACTTGTGCTCCCCTCAGCCCTCCACAGGGTAATGAAATTGCAATCTGTAGGACCACAGGGGCATTCTGCATTGAAATTTAATGGGGGAGGATTGRAATTAGGGTCCTTGATAGCCCACAGCAAACTTCTGAAACGAGCTGAGTTTTGCCACCTCTGAATTTAAATGGCTGTTTAGGTCTCTGATGGAAATTGGGATGCTGCTCTCCCTCATCTCAGCCTGCATTACACCAAGATCAAYTCATTGTGTTGATAATGCGCTGCTSCTCCTCTCAGACAGAAATCCCARTGTGAAAGGACATGAGGAAAAGAATAATTCTCTATAAAAAGGGATTAAACCCTGGCTCAGATGATGAGGTTGGGGCTGTACTCTTGGTACCCACCCATCAAAATCTTGCTAATTCTCCAATTCCCCAATTCTCTTTCCCTCTCTCACTCCTTTTTCTTCAYCTGCTTCTCTCACCCAGATTTTCCCTCCTTTTGTAGTCTAGTGAGGTCAAGCATCTCCTAAAACATTCCCTGCCACCCTCTCCATCCCTACCCCTTCTGCCTGCTAACTCCATGTCACCCAAGGACAGAGCTCAGTTTTGTGTCCCTCAAGTATTAAGCATTAATCTAACA